CTGGATGATGATACAATTTTGTTTGCCTAGTCCGAAGCTTTCAGTTCAGATTATGATAGAAGACATATTAGATCAGGAAAAAGAGGAGGCCTCTCGAGATAGTCAGAAAGGGGAAGAAAGTTTAGAGGAGAAAAAACTATCAGGGGAGAAGTTACAACAGGAGGCTGCTACTAACACCGTTCTATCACCAGAGTGCGTAATTCAACCAACAGCTCCACCTATGGAGACAACGTAAGCAGAGTGTCCCTCAACCCCCGTAGTTGATAGGTGGGATCCTGAGTCAGGACCTCAAAGATTAGCATGCCCTGCATTTGAGGAGGCAGGAGGGCAGTGAATTCACTATGCTTTAGATTTCAAAACAGTGAAGCAGCTGAAAGAGGCTGTAACAACCTATGATCCTCAAGCACCCTTCACTGTAAGTATGGTCGAATCCATTACCAACTTGAACATAACGCCAGCAGATTGGGCTAGTATGTGAAAACCTGTGCTAAATGGAGGACAATATCTGTTATAGAAGGTTGCCAATCAGGAATATTGCACGGAGACGGCTAGGCAAAATGCAGCAGCCGGTTATCCTCAAAGAAATCTAGATATGTTGTTAGGAGGGGGACCTTATGAGGGTCAGCGGCAACAAATTAGATATGATCCTGCCATATACTCACAAATCACTTCAAAATCCTGAACTACAAATATTTCACTATCTGGACGATGTATTATTAGCCCACAAAGATAAAAACACATTGCTAGAATGTTATGCCACACTTACAAACTTATAAAAAAATTATAATCTAGAGATAGCAATAGATAAAGTACAATTAAATTTTCCAATTAATTATTTAGGAGTTCTATTATCCTCAACCATGGTGCATCCACCAAAAATTCAAATATGACTAGATCAACTCAAATCACTTAACGACTTCCAAAAGTTACTAGGAGACATAAATTGGATAAGGCCTTATCTAGGTATACCAACAGGAGAGTTGGGACCTTTATTTGATATCCTAAAAGGTCCATCAGATCCAAATTCACCCCGCATGTTAATGCCTGAAGCAAGAAAGACATTAAAAATCACTGAAACATATATGGAAAATATGCATTTGGATAGAATTGATATAAGTTTGCCTTTATTATTTATTGTACTACGAACAAAAAATATTCCTACAGGAGTATTTTGGCAAGAAGATCCATTATTGTGAATACATTTATCTTATTCTCCTAACACTATTCTTACTAGGTATCCTGAGGCTGTGGGACAATTAATACTCAAAGGAATAAAAGCAGCAAAGGGAGTGTTTGGAATTTCTCCCAATAAAATTATTACTTCATACAATATGGATCAAATTGATGAGCTAGCTAATGAGTTAAATACTTGGGCAATAATCATGTGCAAATCCAATGTTTCATTTGATAACCACTTACCATCTAATCCTTTGTTATCTTTTTGGTCTTCGCATCCTGTAGTTTTTCCAAAAATGACAAGAAAAACACCTATCATGAATGCTCCAAATATATTTACTGATGGGTCAAATAATGGTACAGCAGCAGTAGTTACCCCTGATCAAACTTTTACATTTTTAGTACCCAAACAATCAGCTCAAAAGGTAGAGCTTAATGCAGTATTACAAGCTTTTGTGATGCTTAAAGATTCTGTATTTAATTTATTTTCTGATAGTCAGTATATAGTTAATGCTACAGTATCCCTTGAAGATGCTGGTAGAATTTCCCCTTCCTGTACTGTTTTCTCTTTGTTTTTCACTATACAAAGTCTAATGTGGGACAGAAAAAAATCCATTCTTTATAGGACATATCAGGGCACATACAGGATTGCCTGGAGCCCTTAGTTTGGGCAATGATTTAGCAGATAAAACTACACATGACATACATATATTCTCTACACTAGAAGAAGCTACAAATTTTCATAAATCCTTCCATGTCAATGCAAATACTTTAAAAAGGTGTTTTAAAAATAACTAAGGAACAAGCTAGACAAATAATAAAACAATGTCAAAATTGTGTGACCTTTTTACCACAAGTTAATCTTGGAGTCAATCCTAGAGGACTGATACCTAACCATATTTGACAGATGGACATCACACACTTGCCAGAATTTGGAAAGTTAAAATATTTGCATGTTACAGTTGATACTTCTTCTGGATTTTTGATGGGCTCCCTTCATGCCGGAGAAAAAACTAGAGATATTATAGTTCATTGCTTACAAAATTTTGCCACTGTGGGCATTCCAAAACAGTTAAAAACAGATAATGGCCCTGGCTATACTTCTACCTCTTTTAAACAATTTTGCTCATCATTTGGCATTACTCATATAACAGGAATCCCATACAATCCACAGGGACAAGGCATAGTTGAAAGATCTCGTCAAACTATTAAAATGTACTTATTAAAGCAAAAAGAGGGAATTGCGAAGGGGTATATATCCCCCAAAGATAAACTTAAAATAACCCATTTTACTCTAAACTTTTTAAATTTGGATTCATCAGGGCTTAGTGCTGCAGAAAGGCACATGTGTCCGAAAAATAAGCCCAAGGTACTTTGGAAGGATATTCTAACAGGACAGTGGAAAGGTCCTGACCCAGTGAGGACCAACAGCAGCCAATTTGGATTCCAGAGACACTAACTAAAGCTATTTCTACAGACCAAAAAGAAGATGATTTGGCTCAAATCCATAACAGCTGATATTCAGAACTCCAGTTTGGCTATCCTTACATCTGCGACAGTGGTTCTCCCACACCTGGAGGCTAATGAATAATGAACACCATTAAGGCCTATTTCAAATGTAAGAAACCTTGGTGCCTGATGTGGGAATACCTTCAGACCCATATGCAAGTTACAGGAAAAAGGATGGGATATCAAAAGAAGAGTCAAACCCAGGTGGTAACCAGGATGCTTTTTTCACTATCATTTTATTATTGCCCTTTCCCACATCATGAAGTTCTATTTTGGTTTTTGCGCTCATACAGACCTAGGTTAATGTTTTTCTGATCAGTTCTATTATTTGACTGTGGAGTTTTTGCGCATTGCAATGGGGATTTCACCTGTGAAAAGCTACAAAGCCTTTACTATTATGTTATGTGTTGTATGTATTGTGTTATGTGTGCACACTTGTGTTATGTGTTGTATGTCTGTATGTGCGTATGTCCATATATCATATATGAGGAGCGCTCATGAAAAAATGGATCCAAATATTTTTTTTTATTCATGTGATTTAAACGGTTTAATTTAAATTAGGTAAACAGCTGTTGAGGATTGTTTTAAAAGGTGGTTAACAGATCTGTTTGTTTATTGTCACCTTTCCTTTTCATTATATCTAATTCTATTCAGGATACTAAATTGTTTAGAAAATTGCTTTTTTTTTAGTGTCTGCTGGAATGTTACATAATTTTTTTTTAGCCATCACTGCCAAAATTCCTATCTTCATCCCAGTGCCGGTGAAGACAAAGATAAAACCAAACTACAGCTTCTGCGATAGCTATCACAACAAACTCTATAAACTGATGCATCAATGAATAATGTAACTCAACAAGTGATACTCAATCAAGGGGTTGATTTACTCTGGGAGGAAATGGACATATTAATGGATTCCTCTGCTTTGAACTGCTTGCAGAACTTGCCTGGACTATGTATCAATTGTATGAATTGTGAACTATCTGTTGGTACAGTGAATTGTGATAGTGCCAGGGTATCTTCGCTGATGATGTCATCAGTGGTACAATTTTTCCAAAAGGGGCCATCAATTGGCTTGGTGTCATGGCATTTTGTATCCTCCCCTTTCTGCCTGTAGCAAATTGTTTATGATGTTTGTGTAAAAACCACTATCCACAAGTGTGGCTAAATGCTGGGCCGGTAGTCAATGACGGGTAAGATCCAATTGCAAAGGTAGCAACCTAATACAGGAGGCTGACACCTTGAGGTCAGCTCATCTGATGACATATGTACATAAGGACCATATGTAGTATTGGACAACCTAAGACAGGCAAGGTCCCTAAGCCACATGCTTGTTGTTTAATTAAACAGAAGGGGGGAGATGTTGAGAGCCGCAGCCGTTGGGATGGCGCCTGGCATTTTGCCAGGGGGAGTGGTTGAGAGGTGGCGCCAGCGAGCCATTAGGATGGTGATGGTTGAGTTCTCGTGGAGTTCCCGTTGAGCTCTATCAGAGTTCCTGGAGAGTTTGCGTGGGTGGTGTTCACATGGGTTCGGAAATAAAGTTCGTTCCTGCTTGAATCTACAAGTGGCTCGTGACCTCATGGTTATTTGTGCCCAGCCAGACTGATGCATTATTTAAGAATGTATAGTGGTAAAACTATTTTTAAAAAGCAGCAGAAAAGGCAATTTGCACCAACACTCCTGAGGACAAACTTAAAACTTTGTATAAAAGTAGCAAAACAAATCATAAAACAAAGAGGTAATGATTTGTGGTAAGAAGCCTCAACAATGGCCCACAATGACCTATGCCTCCTGATATTCCACACCAGATATTATCACTTCCTCTTGTGTGTGGATTAGACCTAGTAACTCATTTCTAACAAAGAGAAAATGGCCAAAGGTGAAATTCTGTTAATTCCAAGATTAAGTTACAAAAATACTGTTGTTTGCTCACTTGCTCCAAGCGAAGCCAGAAGCATATACCACATTACTATGGAGAGGTAACTCAAGGTGGCCTTTTCCCAACAGCCAGTGAGGAGCTGAGGCTCTCAGTACATTTGCCAAGGAGCTACATCCTCCCAACCACAGGAGAGAACTTTGATCTCCAGGAGACCACACCCCGGTGAGAGTCAGGAACTACACTAGGGTCCTAGGTCCAACGGTACCCATCTATGTTCCCAACTTGCAAAAACTATGAGATATTAAGTGTTCGTAGTTTGAAAACACAGTCTTAAGGATATCTGTTACATAACCAAAAAACCCTAAAAATTAATTAGTAAAGATTATGAGATCAAAATTTTAATGAAGAAAAAATATTAATGATAATAAAAGCCTAGAGAGGTAAGCACAGATGAGTATTTATTTACTAATCTGGGAGAAACATCTGTGAAATATACATTTGGCAACTTGGTGGAGTATGATAAACACAACTCCAAGTCCAGGAATGCCCCAGCTGAGATAGGTGAGCTCTCGGGGAGAGAGAGAGAGACCCTTACAAATGGAGATCTAGATCTGGAGGCATGACTGACCATGCTTGTCTTTTACGTTAGATGAACAAAATCTCCAGTGTATGCTTGTACCAGATCAGATAGGAAAAAAAAAAAAAACAACAACAACTAATTTAAGTGTCACCAGATTCAAAGACTTACACAGTGTGCCCACAACTTATTTATAGCTAGACCACCTAACCAAGAAGAAACATTCAGAACCCCCAAAAGCAAATAATTGACATGGGATTTGATGTTCACAAAAGCTTTCTTGAGAAACTGCACATTTCTTTCCAAAAAAATCATATATATAGTCAGAGAATTTCTTTCCAAAAAAATCATATATATAGTCAGAGAACTGGATACATCACTGGTCTTCTCTGAGGTGAGGGGATACCTTTTTTGTCCTTTGATAAATCTTTGCTTGTACCTTGCTTTTGACGAGTCCTGAAATTCTTTTCAGCAGTGTTAAGTTGAGGTCCCACTGCCTTTTGGAGGAGCATCCACAGACCTCGGTCTAGTAACACAATGAGTATTCTTTTAATTTCTGAGGATTGAACCCAGGGGTATTCTACCACTGAGCTACGTACCCAACCCTTTTTATAGTTTGAGACAGGGTATACCCCTGTCTACCACCATTTTTTATTAGTGCATTGTAATTGTACACAATAGTGGGATTTGTAGTTATGGTTCATTCATGTACATGATACAACAATTTATTTAATCAATATCATTGAGATATGGTTTTGCTAAGTTGCTCAGGCTGGCCTTGAACTTTCAAAACTCCTGCCTCCCTCTCCCAAGGAGCTGGAATCACATGCATGTGCGACCATGCCCACAGTAAGGAGTCTTACATCTTTATTCACTTTAACCTGCAACCAGAAGGGCTGACTTCCAGGAAACGTATCTAGAAATAAATCCTGTAGATTTTAATCTGACTTTTTTTTTTAAATCACCTGAATGGTCTTGGGAGCCTCAAACTTTGAACCTGGAATACTGTGGTCATGGATAAGCCTCGGATCTGGTATAAGCAAAGCAAACTTCTCTCTAAAGGTAGATGCTCCCAGAGAAGATCCCCTTTACTTTGTTTTATCTTCCCACCCCCGACCCCACAAATAATATGACTAGCATCAAGACAAAGACCACCTGGCACAAGGAAAAATCAAGAGGTAACAAAAGAAATGGGCAAAATCTAAAATGTGCATAAACTTTGTGGCACATATCTGAGTACTAGTTATATCTTCTATAGTGCCCCCCCACCTCCACCCAGGCCCCATGTTGTGGATAGAATTCAGGACCTTATGCAAGCTAGGCAAGCACTCTACCAAGGAGCCATATCCCTGGCCCCCTTCTAGAGGTATGCTTAAATTTGTACACACATTCAAACCAAAGAATTTTCCAGTAACACTGCTGGTAATAACAAAGACCATGAAACCATCTCAAAGCTTGTAAAGTAAGAAATTCGATATATCAATATCAGAGGATACCACATTTTTTAAAATGCGGTAGATCTAAGGAAGTATCTTAAAAGATAGTAAATTTTAAAAATTCAGATTATTTATAGCAAGCCCCAATTCATTTCATATATGGCTATATGCATACACAGGCACATATAAAACCTGTACATGCTTATTTATACATAGGTAATTTCCAAATGAACACATAAACCTCTACTAGCAGTTGTCTCTGAGGAAAGAAACTTATGTTGACAGGGAACCTTACTTTTCATTTTATAGCTTTTAATCTTTTTTATTGCAATTTGATTTTGTTTTTAATTAAAAAAAAACATAGAGTATACGAGTGTAGCTCAGTGATAGAGCTCTTGCCTAGGATGCTAGAGGACCCGGTTTCCATCCCTATCAATGCAAAAACAAAACAAAACAAATAAAACCCTCAAGACATAAAATGGTTTTCTTAAATGCCTGCAATGATCATTTAGGGAACAGAATGAGATAAAGCACAAAAACATTCACAAAAGAGTCAACAACAAAAAGAAAATGGGGGGAAATTAGAAAAAAAAATCTTATCAAGGCATGAGAAATTTATACAATATTTTACACCAAGATGCTGAAAAGAATATCTTAAATATTGTGACAAAAATAATAGGACATTTTGTATAATCAGATTGGCAGTGATTTTTTAAAATAACAACATATTGGCAAATCATGAAGAAAAACATGAAGTATTCTTTCATAGCTGTTGGTGACATAAATTGTTAAAACCTCTCTGAAAAACAATGGAGCTCTGGGTATAAGAGTCTTAAAAACAAACCCCCAACTTTGACCAAAAATTCTACTTCTAGCAAACCTATAAAGAAATGAGTCAAAGGGCTGGAGTTGTGCCTCAGTGGTAAAGTGCTTGCCTCGCACATGTGAGGCACTGGGTTCAATCCTCAGCACCACATAAAAATAAAGATATTGTGTCCATGTACAACTAAAAAATATTTAAAAAGAAATGAGTAAAAGATTTCATTAAGGATGTTCATGACCATCCTACTGTTAACGATAAATAATTGAATCAAATTAAGCTAAAACTGTCATTTTCCATTAGACAATCTAAAGATCAATTAGATCTAGATTAAACTGGATATTATATGGCACTGGTAGTGATCAGTTTGGTAGCTAGTATGGTAACTGCAGTTACTATAGAACACAGTGTCCAGTGGAAGTGTTGTGAGATGCGTATGTTCTACACCTATGTTCTCCAGTGCTGTAGCTGTTAGTCACACCTTGCAACTGAACACTTGAAATATGACTCATGCAAATGGTTTAATTTCAACCCATTTAAATGTAATAGCACATGTGCTACTGGACAAAGCCGCACTCCTCTAGAGGCAACTTTCATTTTTCAGGTTAAACTCTTGCCATATCACAATCCATATTGATTTCCTTAGGGGCCCAACAACTATGGACTAGAAGAGTCAAGTGTAATCTTTGTAGTCCTCATGAACTAATAATCTTATTTTCCCCTAAGGTAAGAAATAGCTTTGTAGTGCCCCCAAGTGGATATATAGTCTTTTACTTCCATTGACCTTTTCTAATCCTTTTTTAGTCTTTCTAAAAAAGGATTAGAAAATCCTTGGTGTTTCAGCAAAAGCGGCTGAAATTGCTATTAAATCTTCCTAATTGCATTGGGTTTTACAAATATCTGTTTATTGAATTCCAAAGATTTTTTAAAATGTGCTTTTGAGTGTCAAATTATCAAATTCTGTTTTTAGAAAAATAAGATCTTTTTTCTTTTATATCAAATTTGAATTTGATTTCTTCCTTTGAATAAGACTATGAATTAAAGGCTGAACTATTCTTAGAGCCAAATGTGTCCCATATCCCTGTCTGTCCTCCTCTAGCTTATTTCCTATAAGACCAGGAATCCACAGGACCAAAGGATGTACCCATTGGGAAGCAGTGCTCTGGTTGCTCCCTGACCACATTGCATTCCAGATGCCTGAGACCCCAGAATTCCCTGCCAGCTCATTTTCAAGACCTACATAGGATTTTTCCCCAGATAGTCCTTCCCAAGTCTAAATACACCCTGAAGATACTCACCCATTATCCAAGAGATGGCCAAGAGAGGGGGCTGTTTTCTTTTTAATTGACTTGAACCTGAACTGGCATGAGTAGTTTTAAAAAGCTCCCAGGTGTCTCTACTATGAAGTCAAATGTCCAGTTAGCTTTTTCAAGGCGGGGAAGGGGTTGCAGGGTGGGGAAGGTGGAAGTTCTAAGCTGGCAAACCTAGCACTTAGAATGTTCTGGATCTCCAACACTTAGGACAAGCCTGTGCAAAGGTGAAGATGCTTAGTGGTTGATTAAACATCAACATGAATTCTAAGCCTCCGGGAAATCTTAATTTCTGGTTGATCTTATCCACACTTTCCTTTATTCAAAGCTTATAAATCTGTAGACACCCAGTGATCACCATTTCATCACAGAAATTATTTCCTCCTGGCTCAGGAGCAGCCACCTGCAATCCCAGTGACTTGGAGGCTGAGGCAGAAGGATCTCAAGTTTGAGGCCAGCCTCAGCAAATTAATGAGAATCTGTCTCAAGGAAAAAAATAAAAAGGGCTGAGGATGTAGCTCAGTGGTAAAGTGCTCTCTGGATTTAATTCCCACTACCATAAAAAAAAAGAAATGCTTTTTCTACTTTATGTATGATCTCACTCAGAAAATTTCTCCCATACATAAGTCATTGAAGGCTGTTTAAGAAATGCCAAGGCCTATAGAAGACTCATAACTATAGAAGACCTTAGGCCTGGCTATCAACTGGGAATGAACACATTTCCTAGGTGTGGAATATATATTACGTTACGTGAAAACCTATGTTATGTAAAATGGGAATATGGTTGATTATTTTGGCAATAAAAATTACTTCAAACTTTATTCTAGATTATTGTATAGATTTATCTAAGAAATCAAGACCTCTTGTCAAAAAATGAATAAGTGATAATGCCTGGAACCAATGTGAGGTTGAAAAATTAATTGCTTGCAGTATTTATTAGATTTGGAGAGTTTCATATTAGTTTACTAGGTGTATGCATATATCCAATAGTATTTGATCATTAGAAAAGGCAATAAAAGGTTAAAAACAGCTCTTATGGAAAAAAAGAACCATGGTATAAGAGCACTCTCATGAATAAAGACATTTTCCTCCCCTAACTTCCAATTATAGCACAGTGCACTGACTTGCCACTAGAGTGGTCCTGGTGGGAAAATTTAGTTCTGACTATAGTAGTTAACAGTCCCCTGAAGAAGCAAAAGTGGATATTTGGTGGTTCTCATTCATGTACCATGCAGACTCTTACCGTGGACCCATCAGACTAACACTGCATTGCCAGAGGACCTGTGCTGCCCACAGGTGATAAGGTCAGATCTGAGGGTGTTAATTTGTAGTCAGTAAAATTGAAAGCCATTGTAGGGTTTTGGAATAAGGAATGACATGATCTGACTGCATGTTTTAAAATGATTACTCTGGTGATTAAAATAAACTATAAGCGCTAAAAAGTTGATTCAGGGAGACCAATTTAGGTGGCTGTTATAGAAACAGTGAGAACAGGTGGCAAGAAGCGGTAGGACGTAGCTATATTTACAAAATAAAGCAAATGTCTCCTGATGGACTGGATGAGGGCTGAAGACAATGAGGCATTAAGGATGAGTCCAAAGTTTTAGACCAGAATAACTGAAAGGATGGAACTGCCATCAGTTTAAATGGGAATTTAAAAGGAACAGGTTTCGACAGGTCAGTTTTATTTTGTATATGTGGAGTTAGGGATGTGTATGACATCTAACTTAACATTGAATAATCAACTGAGTGTATGTCTAGAGGAGAGTCTGGGTTGAAGATACAAATAGGGTCATTGTATCCATACGCATATTGTCTTTAAAATCATGAGTTAGGGATGCATATCATGGAATCTATTAGTCAGAAAGATCCTAGAAAACACACACTGAGTTTATTGTTCAGTGTTCTAAGTACTTGGCTCAAGTTTTAGTAGGCACTCAGTGACAGGATATCTCACCCA